TGGGATTGTTTTCTTAATTTCTCTTTCTGAAAGTTTATCATTGGTGTATAAAAATGCCACTGACTTCTGAATATTTATTTTGTAACCTGCTACTTTACTGAATTCATTGATCAGTTCTAATAGTTTTTTGGTGGAATCTTTAGGGTTCTCTCTATATGGTATCATGGCATTGGCAAATAATGAGAATTTTACTTCTTCCTTTCCTATTCAGATGCCTTTTATTTCTCTTTCTTGTCTTATTGCTGTGGCTAAGACTTCCAATACAATGTTGAAGAGGAGTGGTGAAAATGGGCATACTTGTCTTGTTCCTGATCTTAAGGAAAATGCTTTTAGCTTTTCCCCATTGAGTATGATGTTAACTATAGATTTATCATGTATGGCCTTTATTATGTTGAGGTATGTTCCCTCTATTTCTACTTTACTGAGAGATTTTATCATAAATGGATGCCAAATATTGTCGAACGCTTTTTCTGCATCTATCAATATGATCATATGGTTTTTATCTTTCGATTTGTTAATATGGTGTATCACATTAATTGATTTGCAGATATTGAACCAACCTTGTATCCCAGGAATAAATCCAACTTGATCATGGTGTATGATATTTTTAATGTATTGCTGAGTTTGGTTTGCTAATATTTTGTTGAGGATTTTTGCATCAATGTTCCTAAGAGATATTGGCCTATAGTTTTCTATTTTTGTAATGTCTTTGGTTTTGGAATCAAGGTAATGGTGGCCTCATAAAAGGAGTTAGGGAGCGTTCCCTCTTCTTGAATTTTTTAGAATAGTTTGAGAAGAATAGGTTATCATTCTTCTTTGAATGTTTGGCAAAATTTGCCTACGAAGCAATCTGGTCCAGGACTTTGTTGCGGGGTGGGGAGGGGCACGGCAGTTTTTGATTACTGATTCTATTTCATTGGTGGTAATCAGTTGGTTCAGACTTTCTGTTTCTTCTTTACTCAGTCTTGGGAGATTGTATGTTTCTAGGAATGTGTCCATTTCTTCCAGATTGTCCAATTTGTTGACGCATAATTGCTCCTAGTATTTTCTTATGATCCATTGTATTTCTGTGGAGTCCACGGTTATTTCTCCTCTTTCATTTCTGATTTATTTGAGTCTCTTTTCTCCTTGATGAGTCTGGCTAAGGGTCTATCAATTTTGTTTATCCTTTCAAAGAACCAGGTCTTAATTTCATTAATCTTTTGTATTTTTCTAGACTTTATTTCATTTAGTTCTGCTCTGATCTTTATTATTTCCTTCCTTCTCTTCACTTTGGGCTTTGTTTGCTGTTCTTTTTCTAGTTCTTTTAAGCGTAAGGTTAGATTGTTTATTTGAGCTTTTTCTTGTTTCTTGAGGTAGGCCTGTATTGTTACAAATTTTCTCTTAGGACTGCTTTTGCTGAGTCCCAAAATTTTGAGTCATTGTTTTCATTTTCATTTGTCTCTAGGTATCTTTTGATTTCTTCCTTGATCTCATTAACAATCCATTCATTGTTTAGTAGCATGTTATTTAGCCTCTGTGTATTTTCTAGTTTTTGTAGTTGATTTCTAGTTTCATACCATTGTAATCAGAGAAGACGGATGATATGATTTCAGACTTGTTTCATGTCCTAATATGTGGTCTGTCCTAGAAAATATTCCATGTACACTTGAGAAGAATGTATATTTTGCTACTTTGGGGTAAAATGCTCTGAAAATATCTATTAAGTCCATCTGTTCTAGTGTGTCTTTTAGGCCCATGATTTCCTTGTTGATTCTTTGCCTGGAAGATCTGGCCATTGGTGTCAATGGGGTGTTAAAGTCTCCTACTATGAGTGTATTACTATTGATCTCTCCTTTTATGTTAGTCAATAAATGCTTTATGTATGTAAGTGCACCTATCTTGGGTGCATATATGTTTACTAGGGTTGCGTCCTCTTGATTTATCGATCCCTTTATTATTATGTAATTCCCTTTTTTGTCTCTTATTATAGCCTTTGTTTTAAAGTCTTTTTTTTCCTGATGTAGGTATCGCTACCATGGCTTTTTAATGTAATGTTAACTTTTTAAAGTGTCTAGGCCATTTGTTTTATAGGATGGTCTATATTCTGGATTTTTCTGATAGTTTCTTTGTGATATTATTTGACTGGTTTGTCTATCTCTGTATTTTCTGTAAACTGAAAGTAGGTCCGGAGCAGTGGTTCTTTTTCAGACCAGCAGTATCAGCATCATCTGGGCACTTGTGGGCGAAAATGCAAATTCTTGGGTCTCATTCTAGCCCTACTGAATTTAATTGTGGATAAAACTTGGGGGGTATTGTCTGCTGTGTTTCAGCAAGACCTTCAGGTAATGCTAGTGTACCTAAAGTTTGAGAGCTATTGGTCTAGATGCTTATTTAGGTTCAGGTTAAATACTTTTGGCAAGAATGGTTCATAGTTAGTGGTATGAACTTTCAATGACATCCTATCAGGGGGCACATAATGTCAGGAGAAACCCCAACTAACGATGGTCAGTTGGACAACTTGGCCAAGCTGGTCACCACTGTCCTTGCTTTGTAAATTAGTAAGAAATGTATGATGGATGTAATTTTTAAATACAAGAAAATACTTTAAAACACCTTAAACACATGTATGTTGGAAAAAACATTTCACTTTGCAGAACTACGTATCATAGTGACACTCCTTAGAGATCCCTTCCATTCCTGGCGTGGTGTATTTTCCCACAGGTTTTCTCTTTTATAGATAGTAACCTACATAATTATCACTTCTAAACAAAAATGCAACCATGCTGTGGTGTTTTGTTTTGTTTTCACAGCTTACTTTTAAATTTAGTAATATGTCTTAGACATGTTGAGATATGGCATACTTTTTAATGGTGGTGTGCTACTGTGTGTGGAGGTATACACACAATTATGCTTCCTGCTTTAACTTTATATCATGAGTGTTTTCTCATGTCCTTGACTTCATATTCTAGCGTATTAATAAAACAGTTTATTTAACCATTGCTTTTTGTTAGACTTTGAAGTTGCTTATAATTTTTTACTCATATAATGCTATGATGAGTATTTTTGTGCATTAACTTTTTTTTTTCCCCCCCATAATGAACACCTTTATTACAGGAGCTAAGACAGGAGGAGGGTTTATTTGCCTTTCTGGGACTTGATTTTCCTCAGAACTCCAGCTCCTTGTCCTCTAGGACATAGCCATCTGCTCAGCCACAGTGGCCTGGTCTTGAAGCGATGCTTGCAAGAAGCTCGTCCTGCTGGAACTGCTCCTCTAGAAGACTGCTGATTTTGGCATTCTTTTTCCTTTCGTTGTATTTCTTCTGAATTTTCTTTGATTGTTTTTTGTTTAAAATCTCTTCCTCCTCAGGAGTCAGCTCTGCCCCCTTCTTGTGGCCCAGGGGCCATGCAGAGCAGAACTGGTACCACTGTGGGTAGCGTGTGCTGTCAGTGAGCGCAATGCAATCCTTTCCTAGGGACTAGGTGTGGGCCTGTTCGTTGTTGGATGCACTTTAGACAACATCCATAATCCTTGTTTTGCGCATACAGCACTCAGAGTCCCAGGAGAAGTTCCCCACGTCCAGCCTCAAGGTGCGGTACTTCTTGCTGCCTCCCTGGACACGGACTGTGTGTGTGCAGTGGACGCCAATCTTAGTGTTGGCAGTGGGGCGTCCAGCTCATATTTTCACCTCTTATGGTAGGCCTTTCTCTTGTCCTCAGTCTTGCGGCGCTTGTGCCAGTTGTCCTGAGAGATGCCCATGGCTCGGCGCCGGCTGGAAAGAGCTATGCATAAACTTTTGATTGCTTCTCAGGTTATTGGATCAGAATTAGGATAATAAGCCCAAAGTTAAGAATATGTTTAAGGCTCTTGATAATTATCGGCAAACTACTTAATAGAAAGGTTGGACCAATTTATATCCTACTAGCAGTATCTGTTTCAAATCTTTGTCATCATATAATGTTACTTATTTTTTAAGTTTTTGCCAAATTAAGGGCATTTAGTTGTGTAATTCTTATTTCCTTGTTTGTTGGTGACGGTGAACATTTTTAAGGTTTATTTGCTATTTGCATATAGTGGAAAGCCCATTTAAGGGATCTTTTCTTGGAGCCATAATATATCGAGTAAGACTGTTTTGTGAGTAAAACCCCATGTCACATAGCCTAAGCCCAAAGAGGAATGTATTAGGTGAATGCTGAGACGTCTCAAAGACTTCTCTGGTTCAAGGAAGGTGACAGACTGGGGTCTAGAATCTTAATGCTAATTCCAAATTGCAGAGAAATGACTCAGGCCCAGCACAAGTTGGGTGCTCCCGTCTGAACCAGTCCACTGTACCACAAAAACAAAGCTGTGTATCAACATGGTTGCTCTTGGCAGGGCCCTCCGCAGAGGGGATAATGAGGGGAGAGCAGGCCAATCTTAGAAAACAGATCAGTTCACAGCAAAAAACATGAGGGCTGCAGAGACAAAACAGAACGTGCTCACTGCATCTCCAGAACTGATGCTTCTCTTTTTATTTTTCAAAATCTGAGTGTGGAATGTCTTGAATGTCTCTGACAGGAGAGGAGCTCACACAGTGAGCCCTGGTGGGCTGGCTCTCACTGACAATAGTTCCTCTCTCTTCTTCGGACCTTGTCAAAGCAGTGAAAGTTCAGCCCTACTGGGTGTTAGGGCTAGAGGAAATGTCAGAATGAGGTGAGGACTCAGGCAGGCACGTGATTGAAAGGTGACAGTCATTCGTTCTCTGAAGTAGTCCCTTTGAACTGCTCCCACAGCCTTCTTACTTACTTTGACTACTTTTACCAAGAGATTTGTTTGCTGGGAAAGCTGGATAAAAGCCCTGAGTATTCAGCTACTTTCACTACTTTTTGGGCAGCCACTAACATTTAAAGAGGAAGAAAATATGTCCATACTTTTAGAAATAGTTTCTCCTTTCAATCAAGGTCTTGGAAATACTGTTCTGAGACCTATAAAATTTTTCTTTTACCTATAAGGTCTGCAATGGCTCAAGTTTCGTATTTGCTGTATATTCATAGTCTCTTAAACCCCTTGGGGACTTTAACAAATGAGAAAAAGAAACACTGACCTACATAGAAACCTGCTCAGGAATTCTGAAAAACGAAAGTTCCATGAATACTGTATGAAAATAGAATGAGGAGTGGAGGTTTGCTTACATTCTCTCTGGTCCCTGTTTGGTACCCAAGATCCCCTCTGGAGCCAAGAGACCTGGGCCCCTCCTTAGATCATCTCAGTCATGCACTCTTTGCCCATTGAATTCTAGATACGTGTTCTGGACAAGCTGATGGTTGAGAGACTCTCAGCAGAGAGAACGGAGTGTCTGAACCGCCTGCAACAGCACTCAGACATGGAGAAGCATGAGGGAGAGAAACGACAGGTGAAAACCAGCATCTGTCAGCCCTTAACTGGTGATTTACCACACATCTCCAGAGTTAAAAGATTCGGACATGTCATTGAAAACTCAGAAGCCGCGGTCCCCTGCAAGTGTTTGCATTACATATCATGCCATTTGTGTAACTCTGAAATGAAGTTAATAGGAAAGAAGCTGTAGTTCAGTTCATGTTTGCTGCTGAATATGCAGGCCATAGGTGGAGACCAAACAGTTTATAGAACATGCTGGGGAAAATGTGATGTCTAACTTGAATCAATTCTATATATTGTGCATTTGTTTGGCCGTGACTCTGTTGCACAAGATTTAGTTCCTGCCCTCAGAAAATCTATGGTCTACCCAAGACAACAGACATAAAATGAGCACTTGCGAGTGTGCGTTCATGCTCCTGAACAACCAGAAATTCTTGGTTGGGAAGACTTGGGAAGCTCTGGGTGTTCGAGCTGAACGTGGCTCTAAGTCACTTAATGAAGATTATAGATAGTATCAGCCCGGGTGTTAGGAATCCCGCTCTATGGAGGGCAAGCAGCAAAGGGCGTGTGGCCTGTGGGAGGGTGGGTTATCCACAACCTTTGGGCTTGTCAGGATGGTATTCTCAACGAACATAATTAAAATGTCCATTCTGGATGCTTTAATTCATAAGCCATGTATCAGACTCACTCGATTATTTTGTGTGTCTTTTAGATGTCCTTGGTGGAGGAATTAAAAACGTGGTGCATGTTAAAGATCCAGAATCTGGAACTGAAGCTTTCTGGAGATTCCAGGGCCTCTAGGGCTAAGTCCACACCATCTACTTGCGAGTCCTCTACAGGTACCCCACGGGTAGAGAGTGAGAGTCCCATTCCATCCAAAGGTGGTGAAACCCCAAAGTTGTGTTCTCTCCTGCATCCAATGGCAGCCCATACGACAAGGCTGTGGAAAACAACTGATTGCAGAGTAAACTAGGGCAAGGGTCGTGTTTTCCTTACTGCTGGATACTGAGTTCTTAGGCAGCAATAAAGCACTCCTGTTTAAATGTTCAGAAATATTTGAATGAAGGAATAAAAGAATTGTTGGTGTGATAGCAGTGCTTCAGGTACCGTATTGATGGTGTCAGAGTGGACCCCAAAGATGAGGGGTGGTGAATGGACATCTGCCTACTCAACAGGACCCTTGCACCTCGTTCCCCTTTCTCCTCCATGATTGACCTTTTACTTTTTCCAACTCTGTAAAACCTCATTAAGCAGCAGCATAGATTGAAGCTGCCTCAGGTGCTAGATAAGAGATGCTCTGAGCAAAATATCTTTACATTGGCCGCAGTGATTACCCTCGATGATGATAATTTTGAGGACATTCAGGGTGTTACTAATTACGCCTCCGTGGGGGATTTTGGTTGTCAAGCATTTTATGTTACCACAGATTATCTCGAATTGTGGTTTTAACTTCTTTGTGGCCATAACAATGTGGAAGATTCTTGGCAAATTTTTCATGCTAAGACTAGTTATGGAGCTTGGCCTGGAGCTCTGGGAATGGGGAATAGGACCAGCTTCAGTCAGGGAACTAGTAAAACTGGGGCTGTGGTGTAGAATGAGGATATTCATTCTCATCAACCGTCCATTTGTTTTGAGACACTTGGTGAGCTGTGTCATCCTTAGCAATCAGGAAATGGTATCCAGAGCTTTCTAGGGTAGATTGAGATAGGCTAAAGGAGAGGCCAGCAACTTTGTTGACTTATGTGCCATCAGTGTGACTAACACAGTATCTACGAAAGCCCTGACAAGCCAAAATGATAATTGGGGGAGAAATGGAAGGAAGGACAGGGGAAAAGTTGCACATTGTGCTTGGTGATTGACAAGGCTGGTGGTTTACAGGATTCTCAGGATTCTCAAATGCTGACCCACAGCCATGTGACTGTGGATTTGCTCTGACTTGTGTTTTCCTTCCCAAACCAGGTGTGGATCCATCAGTGGTGACTGCAGGTCCAGTAGCAGCTTCTGACAGTTCCCCTCAGGTGGTTAGGCCCAAGGAAAAGGCCCTCAACTCCACTGTTACCCACAGACTCCAGCAGGAGCTGTCTTCTTCAGACTGTACGGGCTCCCGGCTGAGGAATGTCAAGGTCCAGACAGCCCTGCTACCCTTGAAAGAGGCAGCCAGATGTGATCAGCAGGCTGGGCCCTGTGTAGACAGAGGCACCCAAACTAAGAAGTCTGGGAAGAGTGGGCAGACAAGGCATCGAGCCCAGCAACCAGCACCCAGCACCTCCTGTGGGCAGCCACCACCAGCAACAGGCAGTGAGCAGAGTGCCTCTCACATTCGAGACACCTCCCAAGCTCTGGAGATTACCCAGTATTTTTTTGAGGCTGTCGCTACCCAGATGGAAAAGTGGTATGAAAGGAAGATTGAAGAAGCACGAAGCCAAGCCAGTCAGAAAGCCCAGCAAGACAAGGCCACGCTGAAGGAACATATTAAAAGTTTAGAAGAGGAGCTTGCTAAACTGAGGACTAAGGTGCAGAAGGAGAATTAAGGCCTGGGAAGTGGCACAGGAAAAGATGCTTGAGGATTTCTAGTTTTCCAGCTGCAGGATAACTACGCCCAAGGTGTCATTTACTGTGCATGTAGCAGACTTGCCTTTAAAAAAAAAAAATAATCACTGATTTCTAAAATGTTCCAGCCACATGTTTTCTATGCCCTGAAGTTATGAAGACTTTAACAATTAAACTGAATCCAGGGGAAGCTTGCTTAGTATTGGGTTTCATTACAAACTTAAAACCTCAGTCCAAGTTCATCTGAAGTTCAAAAGCTCAGATTAAGCAAGCCACTAAGAAACTGAATGACGTGTAAGCCTAAACTCTAAAATTCAGGATGTACTAAATAATATAAATCAAAAGCAAGAAAAAAAGTTAATCCCTTATGAACTCAAATCAAGTAGTCCTTCACATAAACACACCTGCTGTGCCTAGACAAGAGTATCTTTCTGTAAGAGCTGAAACTGAGATGTGCTATACTCTCTCAAATGTATAATTCTCAAAGTGCTGACATTTCAACCAGGCGAAAATTTACCAAATAGATTTTGAGATTTTCATGATGTCACAAGATCCAATATATCTGAAAAGAAAATGTTTTGAAAAGCCAGAGTGTATTGAAATAATGGGTAATTGACTAGTAGCACTGGGAATGTTTGTCAGTAATGAACTCAAGTGAGAAAGGTTCACATGATTTGGTCATAGTTTCTGTGTTTTCGGCGAAAATACAGAAATACTACAGTAGATTAATACTAGTGATTTTAAAGCACATTAATGGAAAAAAGCATTTACGTAACAATTACCAAATATCTTAAGTATCTTTCTGAATTCGAGATTATTGGTCTGCATTTTATAAAGAAATGAGGCTATTTCTGGAAAGTATTTCGTTTTTAATTGAGTTCTGTCATTGAGGAACCTCAAAAGCTTTCCACTGCTTTGCAGTGACTATGTCAAGGTAAATCAATGCCTTGATTTAGACCCCACCATTGTGCAACTTCACGGCTCCCTAAGGATTTTACTCTCTGCTCTATGGAATACACCAAGTTGTAAAAGCAGCTTGGGTGTGTTGCAACTTTGAACTTAATTATCTTCCAAACTTCTTGTCCCTTGGAATGTGGGATTATATTCACCTCCTCAAAATTCCATGTATGTATAAAAATGTCAGTTCTATTTCTAGAAACACAGGAACTAAGGAAAGATTGTTATTTTGACTAAAATGTTGCTCATTGAGCCAAAGAGAAAAGAATGACTTTTTGACATGGAAACACCCAGAAAAATAAAGTATGCTGTTAGTCCCTGATTTTTTGCCTACCATGCTCACAGTTGTTTTTGTTTTCTTAATAGTGAAAATCTATGGGTATAGACATTCCTAATAAAGGTAGGTGTATGTCAGCGTTACAGAGTCTAGATAGGGAATTAATTTGGTGTTCTTTCAAGGTTTTTTCATGTTTGTAAGCTTGTATTGTTTTCAACTGCTATGTAGGTAGATGGTTCTTTCCCAGAGACTTTTTGGGTTGCTAAATGTAGAGGCACTTTTCTCTTTCCATTTCCATGTGCGTTTCTAATGCAGAATCACAGAATTGTAGAGCTAGATGGGACCTTGAGACCAGAGTACTTTGGTGGGAATTATTTTGATTATAGAACTCCAGAAGTATTTTGATAATGTGCCACCAGAAGCAGGCAGCTTGTTGTGAACTGGATATTTTTATCAAAGTCACAGGGAAGAGATTAGAGAGAATGAGGTCAAATGTACCTAGTCTGCAGATTACATGGACCTTGTCTCTCCCTCTCTCTTTCAGATGGGAAAACCTATAATAGAGACAAGATAATAAAACAGGGTCAGGTCAGCCTCCTAACCCAAAGAGATGGCTGCATCTCAAGACCAATGTAAATAGCTTTTTAAACAAGTGTTTGGTCTGTTTTTGTTTCTGTCAGAAACTCAACTATAGGTCTGATGTGTATTTTTCCTTTTTCCCTTGTGATAACTGCTAAAATGAGCAAATGCCATGGAAGTACTTTTCCAGAGAAGCGGAACTATTAACAATTTATATTCTGTCATGTAGGTTGTGTTTTAGACTGAGGCCAGAACTTTCAATAGCTGTGGGGAAAATGATGTAAAATACATGAAAGCTGTACAATATTGCAATGTGTTTTTTTTTTAATTGTTATTGCATTGAGTATAGTCGATATCTGCAATAGACTGAATATTAGTTCCAGTCTTGACTTTGGGAGCCCCAAATAAAGGAAGTGATGTTTTCATGTTTATACCTTCTTTTTTTCAGTAAGTGTTGAGAGGTATGTTATCTTCTATTTAATATTTTTATCACTTTGAATTTGTGTATCTCTTCCAAGCATTAGACATGGTTCTCAAACTATTATTATATTCCTTATTTAAAACATGAAAGTGTGAATATTTTGTTTAGCTTACATTTCCATTTTTGTAGCTGACCAAATTTTATGGTTCCTAAAAGAGTGCCTTCCCCCAGTCACACTTCACCATGTTTCCATAAAAGTATAATTTAAATACATGTGCTTTAAAGTAGAGATCAGGTGAACTACCTGGGGGGGTGGGGGGTGGGGAAAGCCTGCTGTAAACATGGAAAGATTTCTCAGTGCAAGCTTAAACAAATGTTGAAACTGTTGACCCTTTGGAAAATACTGAACAAAAGAGAAAGATAAAACATTACTTGTAATTGTATGCAGGCAAAGATAACGTTTATTGACTAACAAATTGTTCCTAAAAGCAAAATATATTTTTTCTTGTGACATAAAAGCCAATCAGCTTGACAAACCAGTTTCAAAAAACCGAAGACCTTTTAGAATACCTTTTATGAATAAGAAAAAACATTAAAATTTTTATAATTTTATTTAAGGAGGAATATTCTTTTCCTGCAATAAGTCAAATATTGTGACTAAGTGTAAATTAAATCCATGAGACAAAAGCAAGACACAGTAAAGCACTTTTAATACAAAACAGAATGGGTAAAAAGTGATTTACTCTTCTTAGTAAACATAATTAATTTAACTTATGCTAATTTCTCAAATGCCTGACTCAAGTGAAGAAATAGCTTATAGTAATTTCTAGTTTGGCAAAGAGTGACAATTTGCTTTTAATCTAGTGTGGGCCTTATTCTACATAATCCCAATTTTTTCTCCCAAGGTAGATGTGAACTGCTTCCTTGGTTTTCTTTTACTAGCAGTTTCCTTCGTAAAAGATAAATTTAGGTAAGTGTGGGTCTCTGCCTCTCAGCCTTTCCTGAGTATCTGCTGGTAAAACTACAATCCTTACACCAGGAAGTATGTTCTGCTTTCCTCAAATATCAAAGTCACCTGTCTCTGCAGACATATTCACAGCAACGCCTGTGCTGTGAATTTAAAATTTCCAACACAATGGTACACTTAAAAGGGGGAAATGACACAGGGACAGTCATATGTTAAATAATAAATACCCTTAGCCACTTCTCATTTGCTGTATAGCTTTTATATTTAAAATTTTAATATAAAAATTTTGACTTATTGTTCAAATACATAAGCTGAACATTCAAGTTTAAACTTTAGGAAGAAAACTTTCACATTCAAACAAGAGTACAGTTTACAGAGAATACCCAGGAAGGTAATTTGTCTAATCTAGAATATTGATAAAAATAATGAATAAAATGTTTCACCAGCAGTTCTGTTATGGCCAGTATCTTAAGGAACATGATTCCAAATGTGAGAAGAAACTGCTAAATCTTCTTAGGCTAAACAACAGAGTTTGCCTTTAATTCACTCAGGATAATCAAAGCACGTAAGTGAACAAATAAAATTAAGCTGTTCTGTAGAGACAAAGGTAAAAGGCTGTTATAATCTTCTGCAAGATAAGAAATTTTCAGTGTTTTACTCACTTTAAAAAAAAATGAACAAAAAACCCTCGGTTTTCTTAGTCTTTGGCATTTGTGTTTTGCAAATTCAAATCAGAAATGCTCTTACATCTTCCACTGCTACGAAGAACATCACCAAGTCACTGACTTTTATACCTCATAGAAGGATGATTTTTAACTTTGAGAGTTTAGATTTACTAGAGACAGCATGTGTTGGAGTTTGTATGTCAATCATGCTACACAAAGAATATTTCTAAAGTGTTCTATGTTTAGAAACTGCTTTTTTTCATCAGTTGACTTTGCAGTAGATTAACATACATCTTTATAAAAATCTGAAAATTGTCTCATGCAAACATTTTGAATTAGTAGATTACCCTTTAGAAGGGTATTCAGAATTATTTTGTCCTGTGGGCTCTGAGGCTATGTGACATGGAAGTGTACCCTGGCAATGTAGGTCATTGACCTGCCACACAGTCCAATATTAGACACCATTTTTCATACATCTTTCAGGTGCTGGTCAGATTTGTGGATTAACTTTTTCGATCTGTAGATAAACAAGACTTCGGTCTGCAGATCTGCCAATCCCAGCCTCTTACCACAAGCTTTCACTTTCAGCAAATTAACTGTGTTATACATCTGGTCTCTTTCAAAAGTGTTTCCAGTGTATTCTTCAAACTGCTTTTTCCTGTCACGGATGGAGAACCTACTGCACTAAGGAGCTTTCCTAATTTATTTTACTTCTACATAGATGTTGAGGTGATTGCATTAGTTTCATCCAGTAGTTGTCTTTTCTTTTGGTAAATGCTGCAAGGTGTTCATTAAGCTGCTCTTTCTCTTCTCTTCCCAACAAAGATCTAGATTCCCAGTGGTGGTCTTTTCAGAGAGCCCTCAGAATGTCAGATCATGGTACATCTGAAGAACATACCTCAATAACCCTGAGGGTAATACAGAAGGACTTTTCAAGAAAGTTCCAGGATATCTCCTGAGGTCAGTATTACCTCCAATCCTACATCTCATACTGTTTTTCAAAATAGCTTTAGTGAGTTATACAATGTTACATGTCAATTATATCTCAATTTAAAAATTTTAAAAAGAAACCCAGCTTTATTGAGGTATAATTCACATGATCCATGTAAAATGTACATTTCAGTGGATTTTAGTATATTCACAGAACTGTGCAACCAACACCAAAATCTAACTTTAGAATAGTTTCATTACCCCAAAAAGAAACTCCATATATATATTAACAGTTACTCTCCCTTCTACCCACAGCCCTAGGCAACCATTGATCTTTCTGCCTATTCTACACATTTTGTATAAATGGAATCAGACAGTATGTGATCTTTTGTGATGGGCGTCTTTCACTTAGTGTTTTCCAGGTTCAACCGTGTGTAGCCATGTATCACACTACACTCCTTTTTATTGCTGGATTGTATGGATATACCACATTTTATTTATCCATTTTATCAGTTGGTGGACATTTGGACTGTTTCTACTTTTTGGCTATTATGAAATCATGGAACTGTGAAGATTTGTGTACAAGTTTTTTGTAGACCTACATTTTCAGTTCTTGTGGTTATAACCATAGGAGTAGAACTGCTCAATCGGGTAACTATATTTAACCTTTTGAGCAACCGTCTGTTTTCCAAAGTGGATATACTATTTTATGTGTCTACCAGCAAGGTACGAGAGTTCCAATTTCTCCACATCTTCACCAATGTTTGTTATCTCCCTTTTTAAATACAGCTATTCCAGTGGATGTGTTGGTATCTCACTGAGGTTTTGATTTGCATTATCCTGGTGGATAATAGTGTTGAGTATCTTTGTACATGCTAAACTGTCATACTGGTTTTTGTTCCTTAGAAAAACTGCTGACAAATCCAGAATCATTTTCAAAATACAGAGTTATGTTTTTGGGTGCTAAGGCAATTGTTCTGATGCGCTTTTCTTTGCTCTTGGTGACATGCCATGCTCTATGTTCTGGTATTTTGCCTGAGTACTGCACATACAGTTTGGCTTGGCTTTAGGCTGCCCATTGTTAAGCCTAAGTTCAATAAAAAACACAGAGACTTAAAATCTTTCGGAATAATGTTACAGTTAAGATTTTGCTAGAGCAAGTATTTTTTCTAACTCCTTGAGCTGCATATTGCCTTGTGTAATCATCATCCGGATTGTATCCTGTAGAAGAAAGTGAAACCTGGTCACTGTTTTACCTGGTTATACAAGGTATGGCCCTACCATTTTATTATAGTCAAGAACCAATACTGAGATTTGGAACTGCCGCATATCAGGAAAGCCAAAAGCTAACAGTTAGAGGCGCACAGTGTCTGGCATGCTTTCATACGCCCGAGTCATACGTCTCAAACCATCATGCTATAATATTTATAATCTTTTCATATGTGTGTGGTCTGACAAAAATCAGGTGATGCTAGTGTAGAGTATAGATATTTAAAGTATTATTTAAGAAAGTGAAAATTCAGTAACATTAAGAGCAATGATCAAGATATACCATCTCAGTGAAATTTGTATTCCAGATGTCCACTAAATATTTTTTAAAATCACTAATCAATTCAAAAGGGTCAGGGCCTGTCCTCACCATAATCTTGTTCTCACCTCATCTGTAGCACTTTTGTTTCTTTTGAATTCTTCCCTTGCCCAGTCCTTCAGGTATTTGCGATCAGAATCATTTGGAACTTGCCGAATTGCTTGCAAAATCCTTCTGTATAGAAGAAGAACTTGCTGTCTTCTCAAGAACTGTACAGGGGAAGAAAAATGGCAGTTACAACTGCACAATCCGCATCCCGGAGAGCTCTACTTTAGCAAACTAAACTGTAACCAGATGACTTCTGTTTGGTCCTCAGTTTTGAAAAGAGCAAGGAAAAAATATATATATATACACATATATATATACACATATATCTACACATATATATACACATATATATGTGTATATATATATTTTTAAGACAAGTTTATTTGGGCTGTTTGCTTACTCCTTTGTTAAACGTAAGAACCCTTAAAGAACTTACTGGGCAGAAAAAGGGTTACTAGGCTCCTGGAAACTGTAACCGCGGTAACAGCATTTTTTCTAACTTAACGCAGTTGTTAACCCCTTAGTAACCTCATTTGCTCTTTACCATAGCTCAGAACAACAGGAAGAGCAGTTTTTACCGCTGCCACTGGGTAGCTAAGGCATTGGGGCTCCATGAGATCTAGAGCCTGGCCTGCCTTTTGCATCCAGGACTGGAAGACAGGTTTCTGCCTTCTCCGCCCTTCCCCGCACCCCGAGCTTCCAGTCAACCCCGGTGGGAAGCCCCACCCTCTCCGGCCCAGGCCAATCACCGAGGGAGCGCGGGCAGGGTCAGTGCAGTCGCTGACCCTGTCGCTCCCCTGACGTACTCCGTATACTGGGTGTAGGGAGAGACGCAGAATTGAGCTCAGAGCCGGGAAAGCTGTCCTAGAAGGCCCGTGAGAACAGCTGGTACCTGCTTTAGCGTTAGCGTCGCTGGGGGTAAGCGGGAAGTAGCCATGTCCTCCAGACAGCGTGGCCCACTAGAGCCACACAGTGCGCAGGAGCGGAAGTGGGGAAATGGCCAGGGGGCGGGGCGAGCTCGGTTTCCTGGGAGATCGCCTGCGGATTGTGTGCCAGCCTGCGGTGCTGGGCAGTCAGTCGTGATTGAAGCCCATGAGTTTGGTTTGTAACCAGTTTTGAGCTCTGTAGCCTTGGGCAGTTTCACTTCTCTGAATTTACGTTTTCTCACCTTTAAAATGAGATAAGTTCCTGTGTCAGAGACTCTTATGATAATGAAATAGAAATGGCAAGGCATATAGCAGTTCCTAGCACGTGGTTGTGAGTTTCATTAAGTGGATGTTGTTTTTTGGAGGTGATGACGGGGGTCGGGGGGGTGGTGGTGGATATTTTAGTGTGTTCCTTTTGAGCTTCTTAAATGTGCATAGTTAGAAATACTAGAAGTTTAAATGTTAATTTCTTTTAAAATTTGCATCCTGCTCCTTTGCCCTTTTTTTTTTTTTTTAAATCATTTTCATCCTCTTTTCTATTGCAGTCATTTCCCCTGCGGCGCCATGGTAGTCTTCATGATCCTCATTAATTACCAGGTTTTAAGGGCTGCCCCCATTGCTCCTTTAAAATTTTTGTATCACTAATAACAAGAAACCAAACATCCCTATGCTCTAAGATCTTATTTTCTCATAATTATTTTGTCCTCCCCACAACACACACTACAAGCCCTTAGGTTATGTGAGGTTAGTGAATCTTTGCTATATAACGTTTCCAAATAGGATTGTTCCGAATTAAAATACAGCCAAAAATGTTCAATTACCCATTGCCTTGCTTTTTGGAATCTTTGGTGCTCCCTTTTCTTAGTCGTTCTGGCTGCTTCTCCTGGCCTGTTTCCTCATCTGGAAGTGAGATGACAGCATCAACCTCAGAGTTGTAGTGTATATAATGCACTGAGAACAGGACCTGGCACATATAAGTACTCTAATGAGCCTTTTTGAATATTAACCAGGCTCTATGGCCATGCCACCCTGAATGTGCCCGATCTCATTTGAATATTACCAGGCTAACCTCATAAACACTTTTCAAAATTTGTCTAATTAGCAACAGCAATTAATTGCTGATTTTTTCTTTTAAATATTAGCAGTTAACTATCCCTTGCCACTTTTGTGTATTGTCATGACTTTGGTCCATTAATGCTGCTCAAGACTTTTGTCCTAATTTTATGTGGGCTGTTTGCCTATTTTTTTTAGTCCTTTATATAGCTTTTAGTTTTTATACAAAGTTTAGTTTTTCTTAAGGCTTTTCCGTTTCATCTCTCCTTAAAAATCTTGTAATTCTTTTAAGTTACTTTTTCATTGCTTCTGTTTAAAATATTTTCTCCATCTAGAAATTTAGATTTATGGCATGATGTGGATGTAAATTCTTTTCCAGCTGCTAAACTATAATTTCAGCATCATTTGAAAAATAATTTGTTCCTCTTTCTAGCTTTTGATGTCCATATGGTAAATTCTTTTAGGATTTGAATAATCTGTTCAGGTGTTTCTTTTGGATCTATCATACTGCTTTTAAATTTTATTATTTGGCAGGAATACGCCCCCTGTAGTTTTTCGTAAGAATCTTCCATTATTAATGTTCTGTATGAACTTTAGAAATGTTTTGTATCATTTCCCTCTAAATCATCTTAGGGCCTTTATTAAAATTTTGGTAGTGCTGAATCTATAAAGTAATAAATATGTGAGAACAGACATTTTAAAACTTTTTCTTACCATCCAGAAACATTCACTATGCTAGACAGTGGTAATACTGTCATGAGTCATATATGCTCTCTGTCCTTAGCCTCATGCTTTGGGTAGGAACACTTTTTTTTTTAACATATACGTCTAATGCAGTAATTACAGGTGACATCAAGGTTCATTCCACAGGAGCTCATTCTTCCTGAAGGGCTTATCTGAGCTAGGTGTTTGTCAGAAAGGCAAAGTAGGTAAGAGAATTCCAAAGAATGCATGGACACTGGCAGATTCTAGGACCTCTGTGGTTTGCAGTGACCAGGTCAAAATAGTGTATGGTGGGGATGCAAGGAGAGAAGGGACAGCATAGTCAAGTCACACTAAGAAGCAGTGAATAGTATTGTCTTAAAAACAGGGACCTGTGGAGGAACTTCTGAAAGATCCTGAATGTGGTGAGTAGGATGAAGCGAAACTAGCAAAGTGATTAGTCTGGAATAGTACTTAAGTACTCTAGGTTACAGATTTAAAAGAATTCTAGCCTCAGTGCAATCGGAGGAAAACAGAAGGGAAGACAAGGTAAATGTCCAGAAGTCAGGGCAGATAAGATTAGAGTTTGGATGAAGATGAAGATAGTAAGGCAGATGTAAAGGTCAAGCACCAGGTGAGTGTGAGTGTGTGTGTGAGCGAGCAAGCTTATCCTTGGTACCTTGTGACTCAAGCTTTTACCCTGGGCTAAGGTCTGCCTGACCTCTACCCTGTCAGTTTCTGCTAGGTCTCCTGTGATGGCTCCCATGCTTCCTAACCCTTTTCCCTGTCATAGTACAAGCTGAGAATGGTACTCTTGGGTAGCTGCTTATTGGAATTCCTACTGTCTCAGACCATATGAACTGTTCTAGAGCCAAGGGAATCACTATCTTACCACACCAACCAGTTGGGAAGCTCTGGTTTGGTTGGTTCTGTCAATTACAGGTAGATATGATAGACTACTTCACCATCATCATGCTGG